ATCGCGGCCGTTACAACAACACAGCCGGGCCGCGGCCCTGGAGACGCCGCAGCACCGGGGCCGCCCCGAGCGGCCGCGACCCCGGCAACCACCGGTAAACTCCGGGAGCTCCGCTGGCCTCGGGACCTCCCTATTTAACCCCCTTCCTTACCGACAGCTCCCTCCCGGTGCCTCTTCGTTCCTCCGCGTTGAGCCCCGGCGGCTCATCCGGTCTCGCCCATTCCATCGGTGCCTCTTATCCTGTCACCCCCTCACCACCCCACCCGCGGTGCCTCTTCTTTCCTGGCACTGCTCCTCTTGGTGTCTCTTGGAGGAGAAATAACATAGCACTGACCATTCCTGGTCCAGTCACTCCCCCTGATACGTTGTTTTGAACGCCCTTCTAATGTTCACGTGGCACCAGCTCACATAATTTTTTCTGAATATCCAGCAGGCCATTACAGGATGAGAACAGCTGTCCTGACTCTCAGAGAAGAGCCTGGAATATCTGCAGTGCATAGTTGCAACCCCGAGAGAAGAGAATACAAAGTAATAATAAATTCAAGGCTGACCTCAGGAGTATGCTAGAGCAGGTAAAATATGCTGTCCCTACCTCTGCAAAGTTTCCTTGTTCTCTGGAACACGACACATTTCACCAGACAGCACTTTAGAGTTCTTCTTTCCTGTCCCTCTCACCCCTGTGGACACACAGTGTTGTATTTTCTCTTTATTCTGCCCATGGCCTTCACAAGTGCACCTTCACACTGATGCCAACTTCCTTGCCCCAGTGGCCCCAGACACACACTTGTCTCTCTTGTAGCCCACACCGAGTGCTTTTTGCCCACAACTAATGGTGTCTGAGCAGAGATCTCCTTGTCCTGATGTCCAGAAGTCATTGTGCTCCGTTTGGTGGCAGGTTTCTGTGATCTTTTTTCACATCCAATGTGTAGGTGGAAGAGGAAGGGAGAAGCCTGAGGAGACTTCTCTAAAAGTCTGACCAGCAGATGAGCTGCTTCTGTACAGGTGTGTTATAGATGGGTAATGCAATGGTTGGCTCTCACAATTACGGGATGAATATTATGTGTATGTTAAGTGAAGTTTTTATAGATACATAGTTATGTTATTTTGGTATGTTCTCCCTATAGTCCTATTGCTGTGTATAAAAACGCTCGCTCGTGGTGACTTCTCCAGGGTCAAGCTGTTCAGGTATAAGCAATTTATTATATGGGTAAAGAGAGGGGAGACCTGTGTCCACCACCAGCCTCGGCGTCCACGTGGTCCAGGGGAGGGGAGAGAGAGTGGGGAGAGCTGGGGAGGAGAGGTTGGAAAAGGGGAGGGAGGGCGTAAGAGCAACAGAGGGAGAGCGGGGGAAACCAGGGAGGCTTAGGAGAGAGGGGGAAGACAAGAGAGGGATAAGAGGGGAAAAACCAAGAGGGTAAGAGAGGGAAAGAGTGGAAGAGGTAAGAGAGGGGGAGAGGGGAGCTGAGAGAGGGGTAAAGGGGTAAGAGAGAAGAGCCAAGAGGTACGAGAGAGGTCAAGAGGTAAGAGAGAAAAGCTAAGAGAGAGGTTAAGAGATATTAACATACAGTGTTGCATTTAGACTCTACAAAGCTTTACAAGTTCTTTCCTTGCTTCTTGACCTTTGGACTTTCTATTAGCAGAACGGCATTGTTTTATCAGCAGGGATTCTCCTTTAGCTGGCTAGGCTATTGTTCTTTGGTTAACCAATACTCAGTATCCTATGACTCAAAGCAGGCTTTCATTTCTACTTTGATTCTAGCCTTCATATTTTCAGAATTTTCTGCCAAACAATCACATTCATAAGGTTTCCCTGTTTCACCCGCCCCAACAAATCCTCTTTCCCTTCCCTCTTATATTGTTGTCGCTGCTTGAGGCATCTGGGGAGGGCAGGCTTGTTACCAGGAGGCACAGCATGGCAACACCTGACCTCCAGTCAAGTTGTAGCAAAGTGATCTCCCCCGATGGACGTCAGTGAAAGAGCTCACTGACAAGACTTTGGGTGGGGCCAAGGTATAAAAAGCAGAACACCCATTTTGTAGATGAGCACTTGGCGGTTCAGTTCCATGCTCCCAGTGCTGCACTTTTTCCTTATTCAATCGTTTGTTGTGTTTTGTTAAGGTTTAATAAACTTTGGAAATTTTAAAAGTGAGCGTCGGTTCTCACAGGTGTGAACAGAATCTTCCCTGGTGGGAGGAGGCTCTGGCCATGCAGTTGTAATGGCAGTAGCAGCAATCACCAGACTTGTCCCTGTACTTTCATGGCTTTGGTAACACCCTGGTCTGCCTGAGGAGATGAATCTTCACAAGCATGAGGGCAGAATACATGTAAGAGTTATGTCAGTCAACTACAGGATGCTGAGTTCTGGCAAGTGAGCCAAGACTGCTGCTGAAGCCACCAACGTTGAGCTGAAGGCTGTTTTCACCAGGAAGCCTCAGAATCTGAAGTTCATTTGTGACAGAAAGCAAATTGAAACTCCTTCCCCTTGGCACTCATGGCTGCCTGTGCTGTGGACCTATTTCTGCAGTTCAGCAGTGTGTTGGTTTTGCATGGCCTGGTTCTTGGTAGCTGGGGGGCCACAGAGGTGGCTTCTGTGAGAAGCTGCTGGAAGCTTCCACCATGTCCAGCAGAGCCAGTCCCTGATGGCTCTGAGGATGGACATGCCACTGGCCAAGGGTGGGCCAGCTGGAGATGTTGGTAATGCCTCTGTGATAACAGATTTAAGAAGAAAATCAGAACAAAGGGGGCCCACTGTTAGTTCCAGGCAGAGAAGAGGACGAAGTGAGAATATGTGAGGGAAACAACGTGGAGACACCAAGGTCAGCAGAGAAAGAGGGGCAGGAGGTTCTCCAGGCACCAGAGCTGAGATTCCTCTGCAGCCGTGGTGAGACCACAGTGAAGCAGCTGTGCCCCTACAGCCCCTGGGGATCCATGGGGGATGCAGAGATCCATCCACAGCCCCTGGGGATCCATGGGGGATGCAGAGATCCCCGCACAGCCCCTGGGGATCCATGGGGGATGCAGAGATCCATCCACAGCCCCTGGGGATCCATGGGGGATGCAGAGATCCATCCACAGCCCCTGGTGGAGATGCCCAGACTGGAGTGGGTGGATGCCTGGAGGAGGCTGTGATCCAGTGAAGACCCAGTGGAGAGAGGGCCCTGCTTCCAGGCTGGAGCAGCCTGTCCTTGGAGGGCTGCACCCCATGGAAGAGTGACCCACACTGCAGCAGTTCTGGGAGGACTGCTGCTCATGAGATCGGAACTACACTGGAGAAGTTCCCAGAGAGCTGTCTCCTGTGGGAGGCACCCCACAGTCTCACAGGGGGAGAGGGAAGGCTCCTCTCTCTGAGCAGTGAGAGAAACCTCGAGCGATGACCTGACCAAATCCCCCATGCCCTGTCTCCTGCACTGGCAGTGGGAAGCAGAGAGGGGTTGGGAGGAGAAAAAGTGTTTTTCAAGGCTTGTTTTACTTCTCAGTTTTCCTGCTTTGCTCTTATTAGTAGTAAATTTACTTTAAAGCTCTGAGATGAGCCTGTTTTGCCCTTGGAGTGTTTTCTCCCAGTTCTTCACTCAGGAATTCTGTTAAATTTTCTCTTCTCTGTCCAGCTGTGGCAGGGGAAGGTGAGTGAGCAGCTGTCGTGGGTGCCTGCATTTGGCCACCACCTAACCCCTACATAGGCTAAAAACAAACAAAAGCTGGAGGGAGTCCTGTATTTTGTGATAGCTTTCCCAGCAGAGAGCATATACTCCACCAATGTATTTTAAATGTATTTCTTCAGGCACTTTTCTCACCTGATTTGGTAATTTCTGAGCACCTTGGAACACCAGAATGGTTTAATTCTTAGTTCTTTTTGAAAAGTAAATCAAAGCATGGTTTGTGGAATGACAGGATGGATTCTGACAATGCTGAATAAAGAATAAGAAATAAAAGAATACTGAAACTTAGCAAGTGATTCCAAATAGAGTATGCTTTCAATACAGGACTCACCCCAATGATGAGCTGTGTTTTATTGGACACTTCTCAGGGTGTCAGGTTATGTGTTTTTGTTTAATTTTTGCTGGCCTATGTCTTAACACTCACCTGATTTTTTATACAAAAAGCTAGATATTGCAGGCTGGCTGAAGTTTGGGACCTTGATGCTTCAGAAACCACAATGGATTTCTAAGGAATTGCTGTTATCAAAATCTACTGGTGGTAAGGTTCCAGAAGAAACAGTCAAGGTAAACTGTAGAGGGAATATTCATGGATCTCTTTGGAGATTTCCAAATATAACAGTGAAATGAGAAAGATTTATGTTCTCTAAACCACACGTAAGCAGCTTCTGCTGAAATCATGGCTCTGCCCATGAGGTATTTCCAAGAGGTTGGCCAGCAGCCTGAAGGTCAGTCAGAGGGAGGCTGTGTGCTCTTGTAGTCCAGGGTTTGGCTCTTGGGAGCCCTGGATTAAGTTTCACCTTTCAGGCTGGCAGACAAGGAGACTATTATTTCATTAATGATCTATCCAAACATGCCTACTTATTACAGGACTCCTTTGTTAATAAAAGGAAATTATCCATTTAATGAGTAATAGCAAAAGAAGGGGAGAAGAAACCTACTCCTACATCCATTGGGACAAATTTCCTTGCAGAGAATAGCCTTCTGTTTCCCATAATGAATTCCTCTGCAAATAGAAACATATCTTAAGTGCTCCTGCTGTGCTAGTGTGTACACATTATGTATATTAACATAATTGTGCCATAGGTGTAGAATATGAGTAGATGCCACTTGTATATAAATGCATAGGCTTTGCAAAAACGTGGGGGGCAGGTTTGTCATGAAATGTGTTAGCTGGAATTTCTTCAGCTTCATTAATTAGGTGAAAAACTCCATAATTCCAAAGGAGTCCCTTCATCCCTGTGACATTCTTCCTCCTGTTTCTGCTGCTTATATCTTTAATGTAATTATTTCTGAAATCCGTTAACACAGATCTATTTGTCAGCATATAAAGTAAGCAAGCGGGGAAAACCCAAATAATTGGAAAGGTTTTGTGGCACCTTCCGGGGAGAGAGGGTGTCAGGCTGTTTATGAGAATAGTGGTTACTCGCAGTTTTTCTGGTTACTGTAATAAGAAAGGACAGCAGTGCTAAATGGATAGGCAAAAAGAAATCTGAGACCAGAACACAGCACTTCAGCTCTCACAGACAAATGTAGTGTGGAAAAGGGAGACCACCTTTCTGAGACACAAGGTCTCTGATTCAAGGAGTAGTGGGACCATTGCTGTGACTCCTGCCTGTGCTTTGGAAATGTAAAGCCAAAGCACCCAATTAACACATCTGACTGATGTTGATCAGGAAAATACACTGTTTGCTTGCAGTCTGCATCTGTTACAGTTCCCTGGAAAAGACACTGAGAGCAGGATCCAAAATCCTTCTTGGAGAAAGATGGGACAGAGGGATAAGAGAGACATGAGAAAAGCAAGAAAGGTGAAACTGGTGTGAACAGCTCCATTTGTATCTGTGTATGATTTGTCATCTTTCTAAAACTGTTCCATTGCATTTGCCTCTTTCCAGGGTACAAACTGTTTCCTTCCCAAGCCTCCCTGTGCAGAAAGCAAATATTGCCAGAAGCTCTCTGGAGATTTGGTGGAGCCTTCCGAGGCTCAGGCTTTCTGCATCATTTCACCTGGGGGGGAAAAAGAGAAGGGATGAATTGGCACCTGCTGGGGGTGGCATAATTTATATTGTACCATCCTGATGCACCATTTAGTGTCCCTGTGAGCTCCACAACTGTAACAGTGTGAAAATAAGGGTTTTTTTTACATGGTTGGGGAATACATTTTCAAGGGATATAATTTGCCTTTTGACTCTTGTACTTTGTTTCTTCGATCCTTGATTACCAAGTAATTTGAATGTCTTTAGGGAACTTTGTTGTTAGATGGGGATACACTTTAAATTCATTTTTATTCTAAAATTTGGCGGATGGGCAGGGCAAATAGTAATTCCAGGTGCCTGCTTTGAATCTGTGTTAAAATGTAGTGTGCTGCTTTTTCCAGGGTGATTTTTAAGCAGTTACACTCAGCTGTGGCAATGGAGGGTAGAAAGAGTAGCTGAGGAGGAGGAGGTGACCTCTGTGCAGCCGCAGGCACTTGGTGACCCCTGGACCAGAAGTCTTGGTTAAGATTAAAGAGGTCTTGAATTACACTTTGTTACTTCTCCTGTGTTTCTATGAATTTCTACAAAAGTATTATAGCATGTATGGATTTTTTTAGGGGAGGAATAAACAAGATACTGAAAACATTCTTACATTGAAACAGGGAGAGTTTAGCTTTTTTAACTTCAGGCAAAAGAGCAGACGACAATTAGAAAACAAACATCGCCGTGAGAATGATCAAACAAGCATTTTTCTGCCTACTTTACCCTTTTCTAAGCATTTATTGCAGGTGCTTTCATTGCACTTAGATTAGTGTTTGCTGTTATTGCCACACATGCTGTAACTTAACCATGCAGTTCATTGGCCAACAGCAATCACTGCAAGCACAACCCAAACATTCTGACTTTTAAAAGGAAAATAAAAATAGGATGGTTTTTATAATGTGCATACATTTTCTGAATAGTGGAAAAGCACTATTCAACAGTGGAAGTCAGCATTCGCTTCTATTAGCTCAAGAAATTATTTTGAATCTAAATTGTTTGAATTTTTCCAAACACTTTTTTTACCCAAAAATTCAGAAGCATTGAAATGATTAAACACTGCAAAAATCTGCTACAGTTGATCTGTGGGTAATTACAAGTATTAAAAAGTTTTATTTATTGTGTTATAGATTTGTTAGGGGGGGAACTTTTTCTACTGTATCCCAAAGGCTGTAACTAGGACTCCAGTTTAGGTTGTTTGAAATCACAGCACAAGTTCAGAGTGATGCACATTGCATTTTATTCCATCTCTCTTCCCCTGACTTCTCATAGCACTGGGCAAGCAACTTCCCCCTCTTTCTGTGTTTTTCTTGCTAGCATGTGTCTGTTCACTCTCACCTTCTGTTTCTTTTGTGATATTTTTTTTAAGTATTGTAGGTGCCAGGATGAGCCTTTGCTTTTTGTATGTCCTAACGTGGTAGAATGACAGATCTTGCTTAAAAACCTCTAGTTTCTTCTGTAATAGTAATGACAGTTCTAAATAGTAAATAACAACCCCATAAACACTTTCTAGTTTACTGCAAACAGCTTTTGTTCATAATATATACCTTTTTTTCTTTTTTTTTTTTTTAACAAATTAAAAACATGTGAAGATAAAAATCACAGAGTATTCAGGTACAATTAAAAATAATTTTCAGAAAGAAAAACTGTGCACTTGAATCACTTAAAAGAAGACAGAAAGTGAGTAGAAATGCTGAATTGGTGTCTAGATAGAAAACATGTCAAATATGCATGAAACTCTTGGCCCAGAGGGTGGGGAGGTTGAGAAATGCTTTTTTTTTTTTTTTTTACCAGCTAAGAGAGACCATTTGCTTTCAGCCTCACCTCTAATCCTGATAAGAGTTTCTTGTCCTCAGATGCTTTTCAAAGAGAATTGAAGGGCACATTCTAATTTCATTTCTCAGAGAAAGTTGAAATGACAACGTTCTCTTCATATTCTCAGTGCTGCTTCAGAGCTGGAAAAAACCACAAGAACAATGCAGAAAAAACCCTTACCCTCTGCACCTGGTGCCAGGGTGTTTTATGGATGCTGTTTGTACTTCCTTGTCCTCCAGTGAAGCCACATGGAGCTCAGCACCAGGCATGAGCCATGGGGACAGCCCATCCTGCTCACTCTGGAGCTGCCACAGAACCTGGAAATCCAGGACCTCTGAAGGAAGGAACACACTGGGGGCTCTGCAATTCCCCCTTGCAGTGATGAATCTCTGGAAAACTTTACCACAAGG